TAATAAATAATTATGACTTTCCAATAGAAGTACATTAGTGGCCCTGAAAGCTATCAGTTTTCGTTTGTGTGGCCCTCGGTAGGCTTCAAGTTTGCCATGCCTGATCTAGATCATCCCTGATAGATGTCTATTTAACCTGCTCTTAAATATCTCCAATGATGGAGATTCCACAATCTCCCTAGGCAATTTATTCCAAAGTTTAACTACTATGAGCATTAGGAAGGTTTTCCTAATGTCCAACCTAAATCTCCCTTGCTCTAATGGGTATGTGTTAATGAATTAAAGCACCTAGCCAAAATAGATTTGTACCCTTGATCTCAATTGAGTATCAAGACAAAGAAATTAAAAAGGAAATAACTGCAGATAAACTTACTACAGTCACACAGAGATATCTCATACAAAGTGGAAGCCCTTGTAGACAGACGTTCATAAAAAGAAATTCTGCAGAACTGTAAGATCTATTAATAGTAATAGCAACAAAGCTGACAACCCCTACAACACCACTCTACAAAGACATGAACTTTCGGCCACTGACAGACTGTTGTTAAGACTATAATAGAGTTTAAAAAGAAGCTAGATAATTTCATGAAGGTTAGGTCCATAAAAGGCTATTAGCCAGGGGATAAAATGGTGTCCTTGGCCTCTGTCTGTCAGAGGCTGGGGAGGGATGGCAGGAGACAAATCGCTTGATCATTGTCTTCGGTCCACCCTCTCTGGGGCACCTGGTCCTGGCCACTGTCGGTAGACAGGATACTGGGCTAGATGGACCTTTGGTCTGACCCAGTACGGCCGTTCTTATGTTCTTATGTTCTAAGACAAACCATATCAATGCTTTCTGTGTTAACACATCCAGTTTTCAAGTGCTTCCATGAAGGACATAGTGGTACTAAGGTGCCAAGAAGAAAAGGACAAATGTCAGTTTTTGAACCAATTAGAATTGCACTTCAGATCCAGGACAATTCACATTGAAACAGATTGCTTAATGTAGAGTTGAGGAAAGTTGTAGATACTTGCGAAGATATATATTCATGTATCTGATCTATAAAGCAGCACAACTGGAATGTAATATAATACCTTCAGATGTATTACTTGGCAGGAGTACTCAACAAAAATGCCAATTAAGACACCTGGGATCAAAAAAGTGTATCCCACTATTTTGACTAAAAAGAGCAAACCAATTATTGATCAAGACTTTGTTTTTGTTTTTAAACTTAAGTGTACTTTTAAAGTGCCAGGTCCTATCGGGCAATATACCAAGAAGAGTGGAGTAAATGGCAATGTTGATTGAGATCAGTTACTACTAGTTTATACGTGGCATATAGAAATACTGAGGAAATTCTGTGAAAAGTTAAAATTTTGCTAACCAGTGAGCAAAAAAATACTGACATTATAACCAATACAGGAACTGAACTTTCTATCATTAACCACAGATTTGAAGTAGAGAATAAATGAGTCAACGTGCCACTAAGTAGCTGAAGAAATGATCTTGAAATAAATGAAGTTTGAAAACCTAAGTACCATAAAGAATGTTAATAGTCATACAGCTAGCACTCCAGAGATTACAGAGAGGCACACGTTCTGGGCATGCTATTCACAGATGATAGATTTAAGGCCTGAAGGGACCATTATGTTCATCTAGCCTGACCTCCTGCATATACAGGCCATAGAATTTCAGCAAGTAATTCTGGCATCATGCCCTGTAACTGCTGATCAAGCTGGGGCAGATCTTTTAGAAGGCTACGGCTATACTACACACTTTGCTGGAAGAGGCAATGCAAATGAAGCACGGACTAGCATTTTCTCACGCTTCATTTGCATAATCTCTTCCTGTCTGTTTTTAGGCAAGGAGTTTTTGTGCAAAAGCAAAAAGTGTGGACGTTTCCTTTTTGCGCGAAATCCCCTTTTTGCGCAAGATCCTCATGCCTCTCTCCTATATTGAAAGAAGAATAAAGTCCGAGTAGAATTTTGCTAGCCTCTCAGGGTACATCTACACAGTAGCACTTACTTCGAAATAAGCTACGCAATTTGAGCTACACAAATTGTGTAGCTTATTTCTAAATTTGGCACTATCTACACAGCACTAATTTTTCAATTCCAGCATCTTCCTTAATCCTTGTGCAACGAGGTTTACAGGAAGTCAGAATAAGAAGCTTGCTATTAAGAATGTATTTCGAAATAACAGGCATGCTGTTAAGACAGACAGAACACTATTTTGGGATAACAGACGTTATCTCGAAATAGCACCACTCTGTAGATACACCCTCCTAGTGCTTTGAGACAATACAAGCAAAATGAAATATGTTTTTATGCAAATTATGTGTTGGCAGAAGTCTAAAAAAACCTTAAGTCGGTATTTCTGTATTTTAACTTAACTATCTATTTTAAGGCCCAAATCCTGCATTCCTTACAACTCAGGAAAAATATTCATCAGTTGAGTATGCATTTTGGCATTAGGTGCAAATATGTAACATTATAAGGTGATCTGATTTCATATTTGTCTCTTAAGTAGGTTTTTCTCAAATAAAAAAAGCCTGTCTGCAAGGTAACAGTATGAAATCATAGACCTGGTGTAATTTCCTATCACTTAAGATTTTCAAATGATAAAAAGCCCTTTTTATCAAAACAAAAAACAACACAAAAAACACATAGGAACATAAGAATGGCCATACCGGGTCAGACCAAAAGTTCATCTAGCCCAGTATCCTATTTGATGACAGTAGCCAAAGCCAGATGCCCCAGAGGGAATGGACAAAACAGGTAATCATCAAATGATCCATCCATCGCCCAATCCCAATACTCTCTGGGTACGTAGACTACATGCCTCTGCCAACAGAGGCATGTAGATTAGGCTACCCGGCATAGGAAAATGAAGCGGCGATTTAAATAATCGCCGCTTCATTTAAATTTAAATGGCTGCCGCGCTGAGCCAATCAGCTTTTGTCGGCTCTGCGCGGTAGTCTGGACGCTCTGCGGTTGACATCAAATGCATTTATCGACCTCCCAGGAAAACTTCATCCCAGGAGGCATACCTGGGAAGTCGACAAATGCCTTTGATGTTGACCGCGGAGCGTCCAGACTACTGCACTGAGCCGACAAACAGCTGATTGGCTCAGCGCGGCAGCCATTTAAATTTAAAGGAAGCAGCAATTATTTAAATTGCCGCTTCATTTTCCTATGCCGAGTAGCCTAATCTACATGCCTCTGTCATCAGAGGCATGTAGTCTAGACGTACCCTTAGTCACCACAGTAATTGCAAGCTTCAGCATTTTGTAAACACAGATTCTTGGAGTTTTGCTTTGGTAAATGTTGAAATTGGATTAAGGAGATTAGAAAAACAGAATATCATTAAGCAGTTACATTTTATTTGCAGCTATTGCAAGGTAGCTTTCTATAATAACTTTATTGGCATTTCTGGTGCCTCTGGAAGAAATCACAGTCGATTCAGAGATTGCTGTAGCCATGGTTGCATAGTAGCCCTACCATAGCTCTGCTTTGTGGACTTGGAAAAGGGTTCCCTCCCTCCCAGCAGCAAAGCTGGTGAGGCAAAAAGTTAAGAAATCTGGAAAATACATGTAAATGAGGCAATACCTTAATTTGCATATTTGTGAACAATGCATGGTTACATCAGCTAAATCAATCTTGTCAGCTGTCCAGATTACTCAACTTCAAATATCTTGCCATGGAATTATTTGCAATTTCTTTTTAATTCATATTTATTACAGAAGAACATAATTAAAAGGCCAGATTTCCACACTGTTCATCCCACCCATGAATGATGAGTTTCTCCCCTTGGCTAGATCTCCCTCCCAGCTCAAAGATGGGTCAGAAGAGAGCAGCATCATGAATAAGTAGCTGTTATTTTCCTCCTGCTCAGGAAGATGATGGCTTGCCAGCTGGAAAAGATTCTACAGTAGCTGGAAGGAGAGGGTTTCAGGAAGGAGTGTCTGGGCCCTTCAGAAGAGTGTGCTCTTGAAGGTAGTTGCTGTGTGAATTGAGACCCATTAGGTGTAAAGACCCATAGAGCCTTAGCAGCTCAGCCCCGACAGAGCTTGCTTACCCACGTGATGCTGGCTAAGATCCAGGCTGATACCACAGCATGCTGGACATGGAGACCCTAAGAAAGACCAGGGAACTGAGGATCCTTCCTAGCTAGGACCAGCATCAGACAAAAAGAGACACAGCCTAGCCATCTTTCTGTCCAGACAAAGATCTGCTACAACCTTTGTGACAGGGCTTAGAGTGCTGTCCCTAATCATTCCCCAGCTCCCAAGAAGTAGAGATTTGGTCAGAGTGACACCTTACATAGACTCTTTCTAGCCACCACTTCATGGCATGGCTGAAATCCACCAGGAACACTAACAATAGAAATGTTCAAAAGCTTCAGCGGGGTAGCCGAGTTAGTCTGTAACTGGAAAAACTTAAAAAACAACAAATACTCTTGCAGCACCTTAGAAACTAACAAAACATGTAGATGGTACCATGAGCTTTTGTGGGCACAACCCACTTCTTCAGATGAATGGAGTTATTAAAGGTCCAGTTTCTAAATAAATAGGGAATGGAGGAGAGTGGGACAAGGAAAAAGAAGGGGGAAAAAAAGAGAAAAGGGAAAGAAATGTTGTCACCCCTGCCAGTGAAAAAGGACGATGTAGTAGCTGGTTAAGAGCCAGGAGCAGAGTGTCAGAAATCAGCAGTTTCCTGGGCAATCCAGGAAACTACCCTGTGCCCTCTCTGTTAACTTGAACTGTGCACAGGGACCAAGATTTGGCCCACATGTATTACAGTGTTTGTGCTAATTAGTCCCTTCTGTTCAACTCATGAAATACCTCCAAACACAAAGCCAAGCCAATCAAATTGAGCGTCTTCCACAGTGAGCTCACAGACAGATTGTATACTAAAATTACAGAATCAACAGTGAGCTACTGGTAATATGTGTTTAATTACCAATTTCATGGTTGATTTTCTTTGCCCCTCCCTCCCCCAACTGCAAACAAAGATGGAAAATGACTGCTAGCAATGATGAGAGTGTTACTTGTACCGCAGGCTACGTGTAAGTACTGTAGCCAGCGAGCATCTCTCTCCACTTGCTACAGCCCAAATGTGTGTGGCACAGACCCAGTTTCATCAGTCTTATCTGATGTAAAGAAAGCTTACGGGAAGATACCTCATATTAGTGTGGGAGGCTAGTAACTAAAATGATGGACATTTCTCCGACTAGGTGACATGAGAAATATGCCAGTGCCATCAAAACTCGGAGGGACAGCTTGTTAGCTGAAGTAAAATCAGCAGTTAGGCCAATTTACACCAACTGAGGATCTGGCCCAGAGAGTCTTGCATATTTCTTGGCAACTATTTTTCTCTGTGGCTGGAAAAAAGGTAGGTTACTACATCTCGGAGGTTTCTGAGCAGATGGATTGAGTACATGGTAGGAGAGGGATAGCAAGGAATAGTAATAGGGAGAGAGATTTAATAGCACCTCTTTTACTTTATCCAGCTGAGCCCAACACTACAGCATGTAACTATTTCCCTTTATTCCCCACTAGAAGAGTTACCCAACATTGCTTGGGTCTTTGTGGGGACTCAGGGCAGGGTGCAGGGGATGCAGGAGTCAGGGCCAGGGGTGAGTGTGCAAGAGTCAGAGCACGGTGTAGGGATGCAGGAGTAGGGTCAGGGTATTGGGAAGTGTGAGGGGGCTTTCCAGGGCCAGTCGGAGCCATGCTGCCCAGCTAGCAGCTGCTCCCTTGAGCAGCAGGGGCTGCACTGCTGAGCCAGCGGCTTCTATCCTGAGCTGACTGGATGACAGGGGCCATACAGCCCAGTTGATGGCTGCTCCGTGGCTCTCCAGGGCTGCCTGGGGCAGCACAGACCACATCCCAAGGCCAGCTAGGGTGGCAGGGTCCACAATGCCCAGTTGGTGGCTGCTCTGCAGGTCTCTGGGGCTGGCTTGGTGGTGGGGAGCCACACTTGCTGCCCCTGTGGTCAGTCTGGAATATAACTGTGCCTGCTATCACAGCCCTCTGTTTCCATTTGACGAGAAATAATTGCATTCCACTCACATCCGGTTCTCCAGAGTTCTTCAACAAACAGACTCATGGACAGACTGACTGACAGACAGATGGACACACAAAGTCTCTCAACTATATAGTAGCTTACTCCTTATTGGTTTCCATGTAGGGAATCTTTTAAAGTACGTATCCGCACCCTTGGTGATTTGTCTGTTAGTCCCAGTTCAATGGGACTAATCATTTAGATAAAAGCAACGAGGAGTCCTGTGGCACCTTATAGACTAACTGAAGTGTAGGAGCATAAGCTTTCGTGGGCAAAGACCCACTTCGTCAGATGCATGTGACGAAGTGGGTCTTTGCCCACGAAAGCTTATGCTCCTACACTTCGGTTAGTCTATAAGGTGCCACAGGACTCCTTGCCGCTTTTGCAGAATCAGACTAACACGGCTACCCCTCTGATCATTTACATAAAGTTTACTTACAGACTTACATATTTACAGGATGGAGGCCATATTTTGGGGCCTGAATGTTCTAAAACAAAAATGACACAAAATACCAAAGCAGCATGTTTGGGTGAGGTAATATCTTTTATTGGACTAACTTCTGTTAGTGAAAGAAACAAGCTATCAAGCCACATAGAGTATTTCTTCAGTGGTTCTTTACAAGATGTGCTAAATACTTATGCTAAACAACCTGTTTCGCCTTGTATTTAGTTGTCATGCTTCAGTCCCAGACTTGAAGAATAGCTCCGTGTGGCTCAAAAGTTTGTGTCTCACCAACAGTAACTAGTACAAAAGTTTCTCACCTACCTTATCTCTCTGATATCTTGGTATCAACATGTCTACAAATACACTGCATGTAACATGATACCAAAGATGATAATTGCAAACCCCTTTTATATTTGTGAATCCATTATGAGGGTATATTAAAAATATTGTATCCTTTTAAAAAAAGAAAGGAATGTATTTAATCTATCCAGTAAAATTAAGATCCTTTAATTTCTCAAGCTCAGTCTATTGCAAGAGTGGGCAAATATCAGCCTGAAGGCCGGATGCAGTCCCTTGGGTTAGCTCCTGAAGTCTCCCACCACTATATTTACCTGCACTGCCACAGGTACTGGTGATAGCAGCTCCCATTGGCCATGGATCACTCTTCCAGGCCAATGGGAGCTGTGGGAAGTGGTGTCCCAGTCCGAGCCGCTTGCCGCCATTTCCACTGGCTGGGAACAGCACTCTGTGGCCAATGGGAACTGCCATCACTGGTCCTTGTGGCCACACAGGTAAATATAGTGTGGCAGCAGCCTGCCAGCGGCTAACCATAGTGAATTGCCACCGTATTATTGCCCACCTGTGGTCTATAGTAATCAAGCAACCAGATAGAACTGTTACTTTGATTTAAATAACTGTAACAATCTGCTGGATGAGAAGAGATTTATCTCTGAGGGCATGTCTACACTAGGAAATTATTTCAAAATAACTAAATTTGACTTAATAACTCCTGATTTTACAAAATTGAAATTGTGTGTCCCAACTACTGGGAAGCCTCAAAATTAATCTGAGGCAGACTCTCGTTAACGTGGACATGATACCTCGACTTAGTGCCCCAGAAAGTACTAGGGAGTAATTAGTTGGAAATACTCTGGGGAGTATTTTTTCAAAATAGTGGCACCAGAGCATCCATACTAGCGCTATTTTGAAATGACTATTTCAAAATTAGTGTTATTTCCGGAGGAAAGCAGGAGTATAGATTTCGAAATAAGCAGCCTGTTATTTCGAAATAACAGGTTTGGTAGTAATAGAGATGTAGCCGTGTTAATCTAGTCTAGCTGAAACAAAAAACAGGACTATGTAGCACTTTAAAGACTAACAAGATGGTTTATTAGGTGATGAGCCCTCGAAAGCTCATCACCTAATAAACCATCTTGTTAGTCTTTAAAGTGCTACATAGTCCTGTTTTTTGTTTCAGCTAGACTAGTGACCTAAGGTGGGATATTTCAAAATAAAGCCTAATGTAAACCAGGGCTCAGTGTCTGCAAGCAACTAGCTGTAAGCATGCTCAGTAAGGCATCTGGCTGCACTGCAGTCTGTTATATGAGGGCAGCTTTTTAGGTGCTCAGGAGTATAAGTATAACTCAATTGCTGTAAACATACTCTTAATTCTCTGAGTCATATTAGAGGCAGACTGTCTGAAATGCTACTTCTGCTCCTTGTTGCTCTATTAGAAATCAAAGTTAAGATTATGCCTTTTCTTACTGCTCTTATGAGTTTGAATGAAATCCCATATGTAAAAAATAAAATAAACCATTTTCACTCAGACAATTCTGTAAAACAATTTTATAAAATGGTTTATTGTTTAAAGCAAACAACATATCTTTGATTTCTTATTACTGCTCCCATGTTTAACCTCAATTGCTAAAAATGGTGAATTCATATTTATACAAAGTAAAATTAAATATTTAACTCATGTCCTTTTGAAAAAAATTGAAATTAATACATCTTAATAGAATCTTTGCAAACTTCTTGCTAATAGGGGAATGCATTTTAGAAAAAAAGTAAACATTTAATTCAGCATCAAGCCTTAAATGATGCTAATTCATTAATCACATAATAAAAGATGTTTCTGAGATGCAAATATGACACAAAAATAAGATTTTTCAATGTAAATATAATCGAATTGAACAGTATATGTATATGACAGTATCTGGAATATAAAAATGATGTATGAAACATAATTATATTTACTGGAAAATGTTAATGAATACTATAGTACAGGTAAAAGTCAAGTATTTGCTTAAACAAACCTTCCAAAATTATGATATTTCAGTTCATTAAGATTTCACTTTTAATAATGAAGAGTATTTAATCACACTGTGTGGTTTCCTGACAAAAAAGTGAATCAATGGTACTAACTGAAATGAGACTATTAAAAAGTGAATCAATGGTACTAACTGAAATGAGACTAGAAAGGAGTAACATTCTTTGCAGAAGTTTGAAAAGTAGTTCTCTAAATAAATAACAGTTTCCAGGGACTGCATTCAAGTTGATACTTACTGGTGATTACTATTAAGGTACAGACATTTTAAATATGGTATTTAGCAAACAAGGTTAACACAATACCATTCTGGTGGGGTGTGAGGATCTTGTCTTGGATAAAATATTGTTTGCTCAAAGGACATAAGAGAAGAAAGAGATGTAACGTGTGATGGAGGCATTTCTTATGAAAAAGTAATTTATGGTATGAAACTCTTTTAAACAAGTACGGTTTCCTTTGCTGTAGTTGATGGAGGCTTTATCAGTGTACATTTTTTAAAATTTTAATTTGCTTCTTCATTTTTCTTATGTTTCCAGCATTTGCTTTGCTGTAATAGAGACTATACGATACTCACCTTTAATAAACACAGATGAACACATTTCTTTCATTGCTGCAGTTTGCCTGCCTACAAACAAAGGTATGAAAGAAGTTTTTCCTAGTGCACCTGTTACCATGTTGTCTGTTTACAAATTGTTATATATGCGTATTTATTTATTTTGAGTTCTATAGAGCAAATGACACCTACCACTCATTTTAGGTGCCACTATCATAATTAAAAAAAGAGACATTAGAACAGCTCCCTTATGGCAACTCCAGCCTCTCCATCTGCTTCCTAACCAGCAGTAATCAGCAATAAGAAATTGAAACAATCTCTCCATAAACCATAGTCATAGGCTAGGTAGGTTTTGCAACCTGTTCCTAATATGTGTGAGCAAATTCAGGCTGTTTGAGACCCCCACAGAGAAGGTGCGAATTCCAAAATTATGGGGCACTCTGAGAGCCTGCCTTAGGAGCCACCCCTCTCTCATTGCCCTGGTCTACACCAGGGGTGCGTCTAGACTGGCAAGATTTTGTGCAAAAGCAGTCGCTTTTGCGCAAAAACTTGCCGCCTGTTTATACTGGCCGCGAGGATTTGTGCAATAACACGGTAAGAATTCAATGCTTCTTGCGCAAATACTCTGATTTGCACAATAACACTGTAAGAATTCAGTGCTTCTTGCGCAAATACTCTGACACTCCCTCTCAGGGATAAGTCCTCTTGCACAAGTATTTTTGCGCAAGAGGCCAGTGTAGACAGCCAAGTTAATTTCTTGCGCAAGAAAGCCCGATGACTAAAATGGCCATCGGAGCTTTCTTGTGCAAGAGAGCATCTACACCGGCACGGATGCTTTTGCGCAAAAGCATCTGTGTCAGTCTAGATGCTCTTTTGCGCAAATACTTTTAACGGAAAAACTTGTCTGTTAAAAGTATGTGCGCAAAATCATGACAGTCTAGACGCATCCCAAGAGTTTAGTCCGAAATAACCCCCTGCCAAGTTTGAATTAGTAAGCAGGGCATCTACACTGCCAAACCTGTTATTTCGGAATAATGAATTCCGAACTCTATACTCCTGCTTTTCATCATAAATAATGCTAATTCCAAACTTGTACATTTGAAATAATGTTAGTATGGATGCTCCGGTGCTGCTAATTCAAACTCACTGGTCTCTGGGAGGCCTCCTGCAGCTCCCCAGAATGCTTCCTGGAGCTTTGAGTTCTCCACATTAACAGAGCCTGCCTCGGACTAATTTTGATACTTTCCCGTAGTGAGGACACGCAAGTTTAAATTTGTTAAATCGGAGTTCTTAAGTCAAATTTAGTAATTTTGAAATAATTTCCTAGTGTAGACATAGCCACTCCTCTCATTTCAGAAGGGCCATCTGGAAATGTGGTTGTATGGCACAGAGAAAAAGTGGTCTATCCCAGTGTGATTCTCATATAGACAAGATAACTAGGTTCCAAGCCAGATGGAAATAAAAATGAAAAGTGAACTTTCCATCAGCTCCACCAGGTTTCTAATATTAACACCCGTCCAGAAAAGTTGCTTCATATCTTAAAGAGAGCGCTTCCCTATTGGCTTTGGAAGGCAATTCCAGGTAATCACATTAGGAAAAACCCAAATGTATTGTTTCAACAGTAAACATTTTGCATAGTCAGAAGTTTGTTATTTGATTGGTAATGTTTAAGTATCAACACTGTGTGAATGTCTACTAAAGCTCCTAGCATAAATATAAATATACAGTAATGGATTTGGTAATAGCACTTAGTTATAACAGCTGCTGATAGTGGAATGATTTGTTAATCTTCAGAAGTTGCATTAGGGTTTAGCATGAATTACCTGGTGGTATTTCAAAAGAAGGTATTGTACTGCCCTCTAATGGCCATACATATAAGCTCTATTTAGTTTCATATATTTATTTATAACTGGTCACTGTGACTCAGGGTAGAGTGTTCCAACCAAATGTACATATCATTTAATTATCTCCAAGATCTAAAAAGTAGTTATACGGCAACCTAGGCATGTCAGAGAAGCAAAACTAACAAGACTGTTAATGAATTAAACGAAGCCTGTTCATATCAAAGTCTGTTTGCAGCAAGTGATGTAGCCATGGTGATCTCAGGATATTAAGGAGATAATGTGGGTGAAGTAATACCTTCAGTGGCCCTTCTCTTGGTGAAAGAAATAAGCTTTTGAGCACCATGGAGCTGTTCTTCAGGTTTGGGAAACATACTCAGAGTGTGACAGCTAAACACAAGGCAGCGCAGATTATTTAGCATAAATCACTAAGACTTATTCAAAAAGACTGTTACACAAAAGACTAGTATTATTAAGATTGTGTTTAAATAGGATGAAAATATTCATTTTAACAAGAAATGGGTGTAACCATGAAGTTACATTTCTCCACTTTGTTTCTTTTCTTTTTCAGTGCTTCCAAGCTATAGTAGTGTACATATGTTGGTACTGAATCTCCTCACACTGCCTACTGTCCCCATTGCTCTAATATCGAGAACATTTCCCACTTTATTTCTATCAACTTCTCCCTACGTGTTTAGAGCCAGATTCTGTACACACTTACATACATGCTTCATTTTAAATTAATGAGTAGTCCAACTGAGTTCTCAAAGTTGCTTGAAATTAAGCATGTGTGTGTTTTCAGAACAGGCTTAGTGTCTCCCACCAATACAATCAAGATTAAACATACTAGAACAAACTTAAACTTACTTGTTTAGAGAAATTCCTGACAAATAATGACATAAAGCCAGAGAGACATACTGCAAGGAGTCTGGTTGTTGCTGTGTGTTTTCTAATGATGAGATGGTTTAATTTGTTTAGATGGTAAAAAGGGCATGTGTAAACTCAGTGGAAAGTAAGCATCACCATTTGAAGCCAGATACATGCTTCAGCACTGTGATGGAAGCAGATCACAGGCCAGTGCTCTACAGAACACCAATTTTCCATAAACCACTGCAGTGTAGCAAACAAAATGGTTTTCCGGCTTCTTGATGTTTTCCGGATGATGGACAGCATGAAAAACAGATGGAAATACTCCCTGACCAGCAGCAGCTCCCAAGGGGCCTGGACTGCACTTCCCGGAGGGTGGCTCCTCCTGCAAGGGGGCAATCCAGGTCTGCGCATTTGTTGGGTGGGGGTTAGGGCTGTGCGGGCTGTCTCCATCCTCTAGATGCCATCCCCAGCCTGGGGCTGCCCTCCTCCCCCCACTGCCTGCAGGCTGTCTGGGGAGGTGCCAGTCTCTGGGACCTACCCCCCGTCCACAGCCTGCTGGCTATCTCAGTGGGGCCAGGCTCAGTGGGGCCTGCCCCCGATTCCACTGTCCCCCTCATGGCCTGCAGGCTCCCCATGGTGGGGGTGGTGGCAGGCTCCAGGTCTGGGGTAGGGAGCTACTCATCTGAGCTGTTGGCAGGCAAGATCACAGAGCCCCAGTTCTGCTGGTCACTTTCTTTGTGCTGCAGCTGCCCCCAGTGACAACTCTCAGTGTCATGTCCCTCTCCTCTGTGTGCCCCTCTCTTTCGCATCCCTCTCGTCTCTGTCCCCTCCCTTTCCATGTTATGGAAAACAGCCTCATTCCTGGCACTTCCCATATTCCAGGCACAATCAAACTAGGGATGTGAAGGACTGGTCGACTATCCAATAACCAAATGTTTATCGGATAATCGACATGCTAGTCAACTAGTCGCTTCCCCCGCCCCTTGCTGCCTTTATCACAAAGAGACAGCAAGTGGGGGAAAAGAAAGGGGTACTTCAAAGCAGCAGTGCCACTTGAAGCCTGAGGCTAGACCCTGGACTCCACATGGTGCTGCCGCTTTGAAACACTGCATGCAGCCTAGGGCCAGTGAGGTTGTCCCCAGGCTGCAAGTGCCATTTTAAAGCGGCAGCATCATGTGGAGCCCGGAATCAGCTGGGGACTCACCTACTGACCCTAGGCTCTGTGCAGTGCTGCAGCTTTGAAATACTATGGGGAGCCTGGCATCAGTCTGCATGTGGCGTTTCAAAGCAGCAGCACCATGTGGAGCCCAGGATCATCTGGAATCCCCAAATGATCCCAGGCTCGACACGGCGCTTTCACCTTTGAAGTGTCACAACAGCCCTAGGGCAGTTGCAACACTTCAAAGGTGGAATCGCCCTATTGTCTAATCGAACAGTCAATGCAAAATGCATCCACCATTCGATTAGTCAATTAGTCACTATTTTATAACCTTAAATCAAACCCTGACTTTGGTTTAAGTTAGGGTAAGAGGAAGCTGCATACCAACTTTGGTGGTCTTAAGGTTTAAGAGGAGTTCTTGAACAAACGAACTCACAGACACACAGAGAGATGGACTCACAGACAGACACACTCTAATATAGATATATGTGTGTGGATGAGCAAATATATTTAAAATGGTTCATGGAAAACCTATTTATCTGGAGAGCTGAAGGAGATGCCCAATAAAAAGATCAATACATTATTCTGTTTTAATGTAATGGCCATTTTGATTTAATGTTGATCACATTGAAATGCTTATATTAATGTTCTTAATCTATTGTATACTTCTGAATTATTCCATTAAATGAATGTATTAACCTTTATTAAAGGGCTGTTTAGGCTATTATATCACATCAGCTGCCAATGATGTTTTCTAGAGCACAGAGTTTTTTTCACACACACAAGCACGGAGCAGAAGAGCACAGCGTGAAAAATGCTGAGATATTTGCTCACTTGTGTCAAGTTGTTATTTTTAAGCCAACTGTGCAGAAATCAGTAATTTTGTTTAAGGATGTAGAAATGTTTTCGTGTTTCAATTTGGCTACTGAAGACCTGAGAGCCAGGACACCCCGACAGCCCACCAATCAGACTGGCGAGGAGCCAGACAGGTGAGCTGACAGGAAACCAGGCAGACTTATATCTGAAAGCTGCTTGGGTTCTGTCAGACCTATGCCAAAATTGAACTGTCTCTGCAAAATGATGAATCTGCATTCTCTGACAGAAAGGTTCCATTAGAGAATTTCTCAATGTTCAAACTATTAGATGTATAGCTACAAGATGCATAATGGACATTGTTCTCAAGCACCCATCCCAATACTAGCTGTTGCCATATGTACGAGCTTGTGTGATTTAAATTTGCTTCTTTTTGTGTTTACTTGCAGAATTTTTAAGGTGCTAAGTTCCCATGAAGTTTAAATCATGCTGGTGCCCTCTGGCAGGGTTGTCAGGCCTAGCGATCAACCCTTAGCCATTAGGGTATTAATACAGTCTCCTCTACTGCCAGAACTATCTCCCTTCCCCCTGCTACTAGCCAGCACTGCACTTATCACTTGCTAGTACTAACCACCACCAGAGGGGGACCAAGCGCCACACCAAACCAGCCTGGTTTCCATTTAGAAAGATGGATTGTGAGAGCCCTGTTGTCAGAGATGTCCCATCCATAGGAGGGTTCAGGGTGGATTCTCCAGACCCCATGCTTTGGGGACTCCCACAGTGGCTACCTCAATGCTCCTGTGAACGGTGCAGGGTGGCAGCAGGGCTCACTCTGCCCCCCCCCACTCACCCTGGTAGCAGGTGCCAGAATGGCCTAGCAGCTTCTTCCACTCTGGCTCCGGGGTGGGGGGAGGATGACCCCCTGCTGCCACCCAGCCCCCAATGGTTCCCTGGCTTGCTTTCTTCTGGATGGAGGTAAGGGGTCAGGAAGGGGCATGATGGAAGCAGAGCAGGGGCGAGGCTTGGGAAGCAGTAGCAAGGTGGAGGCAGAGCAGAGGCAGGGTGTGGGGAAGGGCTTGTGGCAGGGGGGATGCCTTGGGCCCCGCACTTGGGAATGGCCCTGTGGATGTGAGTGCAGAAGCAGCATTTGAAGGTTTTTCTTCCTGAAGACTCCCAAGCCCTTCCAACGCATGACAGAGAGGCATCATCATCAGAAATCTTCAGATAGAGCAAAGTCTTGCAAAAAGTGGGGTAGGAATAAGAAAAGCCACAATGGAACAGTCCAAAGGTCCGTCTAATCCAACATCCTGACTCTGACAGTAGCCAGTATCAGAATTTACCTCATAGGTAAGTTCAAGAAACTGGAATAGATAGCTATGGAATAATCTGCTCCCCAGGGTGAAAGTATTTTAAAATCTACCTGGTATGAGGACCTGGCTCCATGCCTCTGGAAGGGATAGGGTCTCAGACGAAAGGGATAGAGCTGGGGACCAGCCTCCCCCAGCCAGCCCTTCAGTGCTGCGTGGCACACTCTGTCCGCCACACTGGCAGATGTGATTTAAAGGGTCCAGGGCTCTAGCTGCTGTCACAGCAGTGGCAGTGGCTGCTGGGAGCCCATCAGCCCCTTTTAAATCACCGAGCCCTGGGGTAGTTGCCCCTTTTGCATCCCTTCCCCATTAGCTGCCCTGTTCCCCCTCCCCCTTTGTCAGCCCTGTCAGTAGGGTCCAAACATTTAACATCAGCACTCCTTTCCCCTGTCATTGATGCTTTAACATCAGCTCTGTACCAGTCAGTACCGGCAGCCACTTCTTACCAGTATGCCATACCAGCCTATTTTCACCTCTGCTGCCCACAGGGGAAAGTTTCTTCCTAATCTCCTCCTATGGAGCTTGATTTATGCCCTAAAACATGGTTTTCATATCTTTTTTGGGTTTTTGAAATCTGTACTAATGTAACTTTTGATATTCTTGCAACTGATATAAAAGTCTGTAGTAAGCAGAGCATAGTCATCCATATGCTACACAGGGACATGTAAAACCACTCGCCTGAAAGTCTCCTCCAGTACCCAGACATTTCTGATTGCACAGAAACTGAACTAGAATGTGTAGATGTTAATTTAATATCTATTCCATTTATTTCAAGCAATATAACTGTACTGGAAGTAAACCTCAATATTGTAAATCCATAAATACTTCCTGCTTTTGCCTTATTTTCTGCTATAAAAGGGCTGTACAAACAAATGAGAGGGCTAAAAACAACCTGAATATGTTTTTAGAATTTGGGGGGAATCTTCTGTCTTACCACATGCATAGGACATCCTATTCCATATTAGCACCTCTTCTTTGTATCACAACAAAAAAATTGGGGAAGGGTAGGAATAAAGGTGATGGGAACTGTCTAATTTCTACTGTTTTTACTAGAGATGGGCCTGAATTGTAATAAAACAAACTAGATATTCATTTTGAACCTCACCAACCCCACATGTGTTTAGACCCCAGGATTTGATTTGTCCTATTACAGAAGTGACTGAACTACGAAATACAGATTTGTGTTAAGGCTTGAACTACAACTGCACACCAAGTTCTAGGCTGTGTGTTTGCATTGCTGTGGGCCCTTGGCGGCATTCAACTGACCTCACCTCTTCCTGCCAGGAATCATCTCATCTGCCTTCTTGCTGTGCACCAGATTCCCAAAATACTGGGTCCTGTCCCCTCCATCAGTCCAAGCAGCAGTGGCTCATTTCAGCAGCACAATCTAAAGTCATGGAGGAGCTAGCACGGAGCCTGGAGAGGTGTGAGAGCATGAACACTTCATTATAAGGAGAGACCTCTTTAAAGAGTTATAGGGTGGTTTGGGAAAAAGAGAAGGGCAATGGAGAAGGTCTCATTGGAAGGAGAGAGGGAAGTACGTGGGGTTATATTTGCCTCTCGTGCATAGGGGAAGCACCCCATAAATGTCTGCATTGCCATCTGCATAGCCTGCCTTGAAATCCCTGCTTGAAACTTCTTTTCCAGGATGCTGGGTGTGCTGAGACAACTGCCTAGCATGTGCTCACCAGCTTGCATCTTTGTTCTCGCCAATTTACCTATTGCTGTGTTTTATCTTTGTCTAATACTGAGACTGTAAACTCTCTGGGATAGAAACCATCTTTTGGGTCTGTGTTTCTACAATGTCCAATACAGTGGGGTCCTGATCTACAACTGAGTCATCCAGGCATGAACTCAATGTAAAAAATACATAACATATTTCTCAGGATGCAGGCATTCTCAGGTTGGGTTTACTTCTCCCTCCAGCAAAATATAGAGAAGGGGTATATACTTTCTCAGAGTCTTAAGGTTTAACTCCAGTGCCCTGCCCAAATTCTTTCCGGGGTAATAATATTTTATTTAAATTCCCTGTGTGCTATTCATTAGATGTGATATTCACCTCCTCTACAACATGTTATGAAGTGTTGTTGTGTGCTATTAAGAGCAGATGAATTTTACCCTACAAATGTCTGGTTACGTTTAAGGAGCACTTTGGGATTCTTCAAATACTGGAGAAATACAGACTTATAGCAGAAGTGTCTGTGGGAAGGTCCAATATAAATATCTTATTTCTTTATTAGTCACAGGAAGCAGCTATAATGGTAATCTCATAGCATGTACTTTTCATTCTTGGACTAAACTGTGATAATTATCAATGCCCTTTCTAAACATGCCTAATAGGTTTAATTAAGCTAAGGCTGTAATTAATCACGATCAGAAAGTTGCAAAATTAATCCAGGACCTGCATTTATCGTCAGAATAAGCAATACTTTTCTTAATGATCCTAATGTTTGGAACAATGTCCTGAGAGTTGAGTAAGCAAATGCCATCTGTGAGGAACTGTGGCTCAGATTGTAGGCTTTTGTCACTTGCACTAATTATAAATGCTAGTTTCTGATTGTGTGATCAATGGCTAATTAAGAGCTCATTTTTAAACATTTCCTGACCAATTATTATAAGTCTCTTAAATACAGCAAGTGCCACTCTCTTTCAGATGAAGTTTTCAGCAGCTATATAGAAGTGCAGAAAATATAAGCATCTTCTTGACAGTCTAAACACAAAGTGTTACTGAATTATCAAGAATATGTTAACAACAGTGAATTGCTTATATAATTCATTGTTTACTGTTTTAATAGTGTCAAATAACTTATTTTTTGAATTGGGATTTTAATCATGTAGGTGTTTTCCAACAATAAGCACATAGACACATTATAGATTTGTAAGCATCACAAAATATGCACTCTGTTCTCTAGAGGAACAGTTAGAGACATGGAAACAGAAAAGATACTAGCCTGTAATAAGCAATTATACTACTTAACGGTAAAACTTTAAGAAGCTAAACACTAGCTAAGCTAGGAGTGTCAAATTAATTCTAGCAAGACAAGGAGAGGTAATATCTTTTATTGAACCAACCTTTGTTGGTGGTTAGGTACAAGCTTTTGAGGTACACAGAGTTCTTCTTCGGGTCTAAAGAAAGAAAGCCCAGTGGCTAGTTAATACTCTCCTTCCCCAGATCTCTTTTATCAAGAGAACTTGGTCCAATAGAAAATATTACCTCAGCCTCCTTGTTTCTCATATACACGGAATCAATAAAGCTACCACTTTGCTGAAATCAAATTTATTCTATGTAGAGAGCTGAATTGTACTTTTAATGATGATTTGCGGGGTAAGCTATAAAATTAGGGCCATATATTACTCCCAATACACAGCAAGGGCTAAAGTCATTGCTGGTAAACCCCCACTGAGGTCAACTGTCACATCAGGGATGACTGTTTAGAATTGCCAATTCTGACAATGGGATGTTTGCAGAAAGTTAGAAAGTAGAATATAGGGTTAATGTGCTAACATATTTTTAAATATTAAATTTACTGTTTTAGTCATCTTCACACAAGGAGAGGGAAGTCTCTTTATTATTTCATATATTGTTTTTAAGTGCTAAATTACCAAACATCCTAATTGAAGCAACATCTTTTTTAGCTAGCTGTACATTTTTATATATTATTGCCTATCATCTTATGTAACAATTATAAGCTTCTGGAGGCTGGGACTGTTATCCTTCATGTCTTCTTTCGGGCCATGGTCCTTTGTGGAGCTTTTGGGCCCCAGGCCAATAAAAATAAATTTTAAAAACGGTAGCATCAGATGACCTTTTACTGGAATTCAACTTACGAAGCATTAAGTATGGCTTTATCAATGTTACTATAGAAACCAATCTGCTGTTCATTTAGTAAGAGGAACCCTTGTGTAAATTATACAGATTGGTAGAATGTGCTGTGATTCTGCTAAATATAGCTACTAGCAACAACAACAAAATATCAGCTGTGCTGATAACTGCTTCATACCAAATGTCACTCACAGATAAACTTTGATAGGGCTAAATTGTACATGCAAAGCACCATACATGAGAAAAGTGTGGCAACTAAGAGATCAGGAATTAATATAGCAGACAAAGTAAATACTAGTAAATCTACCAAGAACACAGTATATGAGAATATCCCTTCAGATCTGCTGTTACATGTTTGTTATTAGGCAGGTCCTAATGACAGCCCAAACTGCCTTTCCTCCAGAACAGACTGGCAACCTTCAGAAATGACAATCATTTGAGCAGGTCACATAATTTAAAGAATGAGCATGACACTAGAACAACTTCTATTTTGATAAAGTGTATTTGCGGTAGGGTTTCTTTTCCTCTCGATGCACACATTACTATATGTGCATCAGTGAGTGTGAATGCGGATTGTCCTTATATGATAAACTCAGAACAAGATAAGCCTGGCAAAGAACGCTCTATCGGCCTTATCCCCACTCTGCTCTGCTCTTTATGTCCCATGATGAACTTGTTTCTGGAGGCAGTGAGAGACAGCATTCCCTGCAGGGGTGGAGAATGGATGTGGCCCCAGGGTTGCCAATCAATGAGGACCCTATCTTTCGAAAAAGCAGCTCACTTTTTTGAAGCACTTTTGCTGTGGGGACGCTGTCTTTTGGAAGAAGTTTTTCCAGAAGATCTCTTTACAGTTTAGACGTAGCCTGAGGCTTAGGGCCTCCCCCAGCATTAGGGAGCCAAGGTACTCCAGCCCTCCTGCCACCTCCCCGAAGCTCCTGGCCTCTGACTGATTTTTCTGTGGGTCAGTGGCCCCTAATCCTAAAAAAATTCCCCTCCCCTGCCCAACAGACTGAAACAAAGACTAACACTGGAAAAGTTGTCAAGAATTTAATTCTGGTTGGACAATATTGAACCGTATTTCTCCCCAGTGAAACTGCACTGATTTCAGAGATATCACACCAGGAATTAATTTAGCCCAGTGGATTTACATGACAGAAGAGGTAAATGTGAGATTAAGACACAGCTGCAATTGTAAGATGTTTATGAAACATAATTGCTCTGTTTTTTAAATCTTATCCCTATAAGATTTCTGCAACATAATTGCATTCAAAATATATCAAGGGAAGCATTTTTAGATCATACAAACTTCAGATATTGTGAGTAACCTATTGCTTTATATTTACCTTTTAATATAATACATTACCTAGTTTATGCAAAAGAAGGTACATACTTTATAAAATTGAATTTTGTAAGGCTAATACGTTACTAAAAATTTCCTGTAGAAAATTCAGCTGTGCTCTTTCTTTCAAGTCTTAGTGAACCAAAAGGCAGTTGCCTCAGCAAGATTGCTAGGAGACAGGAACGCTGGAGGTCTGTTCCCAGCTCTGACACAAGTCATTTAACTTCTTTGTGTCTAAGACTTCATCTACACTGCTAAGTTTAAAGGGCAGCAATGGCAGTTCAATGCTTTAACACAGCAGTGTGGTCAGGGCACCAATGCTGGGAGAGAGCTCTCCCAGCACTGTAGGTAAAGCACCTCCATGAGGGGAGTCACTAACAGCCCTGGGAGTCTGTTTATGCTGGCGCTTTACAACACTGCAACTTGCTGCACTTGGGAGGGGCTGTTTCTTTGCACCCCTGAGTGAGACAATTGAAACACACTAAAGAAGCAGTGTAAACAATGCTTTAGGGCATGTCTACACTACATGGAAGGTCAGCGCTGCCACAGCTGATTTTCTGGGCTTTAATTTAGCAGGTGTAGTATAGATCTGCTAGATCGAACTTAAAAGGCACCCTTGTCAGTGCTGGTACTCCTGCTCATCATGAGGAGTAAGGGAAGCCAATGGGAGCATTTGCTCCTGTCAGCCTCCCACTGTGTGGCTGGGGATTTAAGATACATTGTTTCCAGCTACATCATTTACATAGCTGGAGTTGCATATCTTACTTCGATCTACCCGTGTAGTGTAGACCAGGCCTTAGAGTCCACTTATAATAATAATAATTTACTATATTTACCTTACAGTGGTGATGAGGATTCATTAGTTTGATGTTTACAAGGCATTTTAATCAGTGAGGTTTCTAAAGTTGGGTGTCTCATGCCAAATTTTGCTGTCAATTTCAAATAAATGTGCTGATTTTTCAGGGATAGTGAAGACCTGCTATTTTCAAGTGGGAGTTGTAAGTACTCAGCATCTTTGAAAAATCAAGCTACTTGTTTAATTTCCTTAAAATGGAGTTAGAGGCCAAATTCTGGGCATCTACATTTGAAAGTTAGCCTATATAAATATTAAGAGTTCTTATTACTAGGCCTGTATACATCTAAAAAGGAATTGTGCCAGATCACAGCAAATATTATTCATTGAATGACAAGAACAAAACAAGTTATAGTTGTTCATCCCCATACAGTGTAAGGTTGTTTCCAAAAGAACATTTGCAAATGTTTTATCAAGTGGTTTTAAATGTCTAACAGCACAGGAAAAGAAAGTGGAAATCAGATTGTATTGTTCTTGTAGTACAGACAGCCTTAGAGAGAGAGAGAAGTTAAATTGCTTTCATCCAGGGTTTTAAAAATACAAGGCGGTTGCTACAATCATGCATAAATATTCCATAAGGGTTGTCACATCAACATCTAGCAGCAGGAAGCTTTCGGGGAGGGGGGAGTTTAAAAACAAGGAGGCTACGTCTACATTGGCCCCTTTTCCGGAAGGGGCATGTTAATTTCAGCGATCGTAATAGGGAAATCCGCGGGGGATTTAAATATCCCCCGCGGCATTTAAATAAAAATGTCCGCCGCTTTTTTCCGGCTTTTAGAAAAGCCGGAAAAGAGCGTCTACACTGGCCCCGATCCTCCCCTTTTCCGGAGGATCTTATTCTTACTTTGAAGTAGGAATAAGATCCCCCGGAAAAGGGTGCTTTTTCTGGAGGATCGGGGCCAGTGTAGACGCTCTTTTCCGGCTTTTCTAAAAGCCGGAAAAAAGCAGCGGACATTTTTATTTAAATGCCGCGGGGGATATTTAAATCCCCCGCGGATTTCCCTATTACGATCGCTGAAATTAACATGCTCCTTCCGGAAAAGGGGCCAATGTAGAAGTAGCCGGATAGTCTAATCTAGATTTATGTGCAGTTATCTTATTATTGTTCTTTGTGTACAGATATCTCGGTCATAACTGTATCACCAGTCTGAGACTTGGGATATTCAGAGACCTACACAAATTGAAATGGTTGTCAGTGTCTATTTTCTTCCCTTTTATGCAGAAGGAGTGTAACTGGGGACTAGCTTTCTCCAGCTGGCAGTTCACACACTGACCATATATATTTCCTTCTGGTAAATACATGCCAATTGTTTTAAACTTACTGCTATTTTTACTGTAAATTGGAATGGGAATGAACTTTTCCACACACACCCCTTCTGCAGAAATGGGCCTTCTTCAGAAACCCACATTCCCTTTGGCCTAAGAACTGAGACTTTTCAGAAACAGTAACATACATGGGGCCCAGTCGGCTGAGCATCTAAAAAATTAATTATCAACTTGCACTCAGCCCCCACACCAGCAGTCTGTTAATGCAGAAAGCAAAGTACTGTCCTGGCAAAATCTTTTCTGCCAAGACATAGTAACAGAGGCATCTTTGGCATATGAACAAAAGTAAGGCAGCAGAATTGCAGAGGGATATAGCTGAACTGAAAAAAGTCTGATATCAGCCACAGATCAAGGGCTATATCATTGCTGCTTGTTACAGTGACCAATGTGAAATTCTATTCACATTACACCTCCTATTTAAACATACTGGCATAATTTTTATTGTTAACATTTCCTCTCTTTCACTCTTTTAGGTATATCTGTTTCTAATACATAATTGTGACTTTGACCTGTGCTTGAACATCAATTTTATATGCTCGTTTCTTTGCTTTCAGCTATTTCAAAAAGTTTAATATTGTTTCTATGCACTCCATGTGTGAATATGCACACCATTAACAGATGGGATTTCACCAGTTGAGAACCTCTTGGCTAAAGTTCTTAAAGTAGTTGTCTGGGTCCTAGCTTGTTACCTGTTTTGGAAATCTTTTTGTCATTGGAATGAGAGTATTTCTCAGAACTGAAAATCAGAGAATCATAGAATACTAGGACTGGAAGGGACCTCGAGAGGGCATCGAGTCCAGTCCCCTGCCCTCATGGCAGGACCAAATACTCTCTAGACCATCCCTGATAGACATTTATCTAACCTACTCTTAACTATCTCCAGAGATGGAGATTCCACAACCTCCCTGGGCAATTTATTTCAGTGTTTGACTACCCTGACAGTTAGGAACTTTTTCCTAATGTCCAACCTAAACCTCCCTTGCTGCAGTTTAAGCCCATTGCTTCTTGTTCTATCCTCAGAGGCCAAGTTTTCTCCCTCCTCCTTATGACACCCTTTTAGATACCTGAAAACTGCTATCATATCCCCCCTCAATCTTCTCTTTTATAAACTAAACAAAACCAATTCCTTCAGCCTTTCCTCATAGGTCATGTTCTCTAGATCTTTAATCAGTCTCAATTGCTCTTCTCTGGACCCTCTCCAATTTCTCCACATCTTTCTTGAAATGTGGCACCCAGAACTGGGCACAATACTCCAACTGAGGCCTAATCAGTGCAGACTAGAACAGAAGAATGACTTCTCGTGTCTTGCTCACAACACACCTGTTAATGCATCCCAGAATCATGTTTGCTTTCTTTGCAACAGCATCACACTGCTGACTCATATTCAACTTGTGGTCCACTATATCCTCTAGATCCCTTTCTGCCGTACTTCTTCCCAGACAGTCGCTTCCATTCTGTATGTATGAAACTGATTGTTCCTTCCTAAGTGGAGCACTTTGCATTTGTCTTTATTAAACTTCATCCTATTTACCTCAGACCATTTCTCCAATTTGTCCAGGTCATTTTGAATTATGACCCTATCCTCCAGATTAGTCGCAACCCCTCCCAGCTTGGTATCATCTGCAAACTTAATAAGCGTACTTTCTATGCCAATATCTAAATTGTTGATGAACTATTTTGGCAACAACAACTAGTAAACTTTATTGCAGTTTATAAATTCCATGTTTTATAATTTGCCAAAATTTTACTTAAAATGAATGCATCGTATTTTGCCTAACAATAACATTGAAATTAAGAGCCTGGTTTTAACCAATAAGGGCAAAATGTAGATTCTGCTATAAGCAACTTCCTCAAAGTCAAATTGTACTGTCTTTAGTTTATAAATGCATGTATGATGCTGCCCTATTGAAGCCTATACCAAAGATAGGGCACTAGATACTAATTTCAGTGTAAGAGAAGTCTCCCATAGCTCAGATAGTACTGGCTTGTAGTCATTTCCTTGTCTGTATGAGATCTGCAAATGAGAGGTCTCTTTGACCCACAGTTCATAGACTTACCACATGCCAGAACCCAGTATTCATGGCATGATGGCAGTCACTCCCATCAAATTCATTCTGATGCCACAAAGCCTGAGTTATATTACATTAGTGCATATGTCATCCAGGATATAGCGAATTCCAAAAAAGAACATTTTTAATATTAACTACTATTTTTAATAAATTGTGAATATTTCTTTTTAAATAGGTGCTGACCATATGATGGGTGTGTACTTGTTCTCCATTGGAGTCTTCGATATTAAGTACTGTGGACAGTATAAAAAATATTCTGTACCATGTTGTACCATAGGCTTCCTGGCCATGCTTTTTACAGAGGTCTCTGTCTTGTTGACATATCTGACTTTGGAAGAATATTTAGTGATTGTCTTTCCCTTCAGTAATATCTGACCATAAAAGCATCAGACAGTAATGAGCCCTCTATCCATATGATTTATTGGATTTGTAATAGCAATAATCCCATTTTGGGATGATGACTTTTTTGGAAATTATTATGGAAAAATGGAATTTGTTTCCCCATTTATTCCGATCAAATAGAAGAAACTGGTGGCAAGGTGTATACTGTTGGGATTTTTCTTGGTAAAGTTATTATTTTCACATACCTTTATTTGCTTCTCTTTTTGCACTGCCAACTGATTTCCAAACTACTCACATACCCTAGACATATTTTTACTGCGGCTTTAAGCTTCATATTGTGGTAGCACTTAAAGGTCTCTGTTGTGCTGGGTGCTACTTAAAAATATAGGAAGACATTGTCCATTCTGTGAAGAGTGTAGAATCTAATTTTATACAAGACACAAGTGAGTGTAACAAACAAGAGGAGGGAACCAAGTAGGAGCAGGGATGTGGCTAATAGTAATAAGATAATCCATCCAAATATGGCCAATTCTAGGGGCTAGAAAGCAGGGCAGTCAGTCTGGACACTAATTTCCCAGGGTGCCATCTTCCTGTGCCACTCGGCCATTTTATATTGTGTTTTGCTGCTCCATAGAGTGCAGAAAACATTTTCTGCCCTCACTGGTGAATGCCTACGACCTTTCCTATGCACAGTTGCCTTGGATGCAAAACATGTTTCCAAATCTTTTGAAACTTTTCCATTTTATAAATTAGTAAAATCAGCTCTCTCCAAACACCATTCAACCTTGTCCTTACCAGGGAACATCCTGGATCAAACTGTTAAATTACAAATGCAGATAACTAGGTGCTGTGTAATAGAAGACAATAGCACTCACATAAAATTAGAAGAGAGGATCAGAGGAATCATTTCTCTAGCTAGGCCATAAAATGAACTGGAAATAAACAGCCGTTAAAAAAACTAAATAAAAACTCTAGTATGAAATACACCCCACCATGCCAGAGACTGAGCATTATTCAGAGTCTTGGCACACTGTCTTCCCTCTGCCCCACATTTCTTAAGCCATATTCATACACTGCCAAAATATTTATATTTAGCAATTATCCCCAAGATTTGTCTCTTGGCTTCGCTGTTACAAGGCTTTGTTTTAGCAAAACAGGCAAAAAAATAAACAAAAACACAGGGTTGATGTCTGTCCAGTATCACACTCCCTCCTCAGAGGCGCAAGTGTGAGAGCAATAAACTTTCCAGAGATTATGTCAAACTTGTGTATCAATCCCCTTTTCAGTTTAAAAAGCAAAACTGCAGGCAATGCTGCCCGGCAAGTATGAGCTTGCAAAGAAAGCCTCACCTCTTTTTTATTTTTATTAAAGAAGAACCAGTATATGAATCGTGGAAATCTTCTATATTTGGTCCTGCCATGAGGGCAGGGGACTGGCCTCAATGACCTCTCGAGGTCCCTTCCAGTCCTAGTATTCTATGATTCTATGATATTGAGTTACCCTGCTGAAAAACATTTTGCTCGGCTCTGTTTTGGGAAATATTGCATTTCCATGTTCACTGCAAATTTTATGAGCTGTAAATACAAAAGGACACAGCAGTTGCTAGTGAGGGAAGAGAGCTCCCTTCCGTGTTCTTGCTATAACTAAACTTTTCAGTTTAAAGATGTTGGTTTGAGGCAGTTTTCCTGGAACTGAGAATCACCTTTTTTCAAGATCTTGATCACTTCCAAGGAAGTTTCAATGGAAACTCAGGCAAATGGAGGGTTAAGCTTTGTTTTTTGTTCTAGGTCCCAGGTCAGCAAGACTCTAAAGCACTGTATAACATCAGTCACATAGCTTCAAGGGGTAGCTGAGTTAGTCTGTAACTGGAAAAACTTAAAAAACAACAAGTAGTCTTGCAGTATCTTAAAGACCAACAAAACATGTAGATGGTACCATGAGCTTTTGTGGGCACAACCCATTTCTTCAGAAGAATGGTGAGTTACTAAAGGTCCAGTTTCTAAATAAATGAGGGATGGTGGTGTGGAAGAGAGAAGGAAAATGAATGAGAAAGGTGTGGGGGGAAGAAATAGTCAATTAGCATGTCTATGTCACATGAAACTGATAGAGAAGCTGCAAATTGTTCTTAAGTACCCATTGTTTGGATTTTTATATCATTAGGATATGGAATGTAGTGGGCCATCCAGCCAATGTCTTTATTCATACCTTTGTGAGAGGAATCAAACCTGTAAATAAAGTTAACTTCTAAGGTTTCCCTGTGGAGTTGGCTTGTGGAATTGTCCTGAAACAGTACGGTGATTTTGAGAACTATTAAGGAGTGCCCAGGCAAATTAAAATGTTCCCCAACAGGCTTCTGTGTGTTGCCTTCTCCAGTATCTCATTTGTGTCCATTAATTCTTTCCTGTAGGGACTGTCCAGTTAGGCCAATACACATGGAAGAAGGGCATTGCTGGTATTTGATGGCATAGATCACATTAGTGGATGTGCAGTTAAATGAGCCTCTGATGTGGTGGTTTATGTGGTTAGGTGCTGTGATTATATCACTTGTATAGATGTGTGGACAAAGTTGGAACCGTGACTGATTGCAGAGGTGGGTTCCTGGATGATTATGCTAGAGGTATGTTGTGTGGTTACTGGAAAGAATTTGTTTGAAGTTAGGGGGTTGTCTGTAGGTGAGGTTTGGCCTGTTACCCAAAACCTGTAAGAGTGAGGGGTCATTTTCTAGAATAGGTTGTAGATTGTGAGGGGTTTAAGTTGTGGACTGTAGGTGATGACAAGTGGTATTCTGTTGTTTTCTTTTCTTGACCTGTCTTGAAGTAGTTCATGTCTGGGTACTCTTTTGTCTCTGTTGATCTTTTTTTTCACTTCTCCAGTTGGGTATTTCAGTTTTAAGAATGCTCTATATGGAAGCTGTAGGTGTTTGTCTCTGTCTGTGGGATTGGAGCAAATCCAGTTGTATTTTAGGGCTTGGCTGTAAACAATAGATTGAGAAATGTATCTTAGTTGGAAGCTACGGGCAAGAAGGTAAGTGAAGCAGTTGGTAGGTTTCCAGTATAAAGTGGTGGAAATGTGTCCATCATTTAATTGTATTTTAATATCAAGGAAGTGGATCTCTCATGTGGACTGGTCCAGGCTGAGGTTGATGGTGGGATGGAAGTTGTTGAAATCCCTGTGAAATTCTTCAAGGGTCTCTTTCCCGTGGGTCCATATGATGAAGATGTCATCAATGTAGCATAAGTAGAGTAAGGTTGTTAGGGGGCGAGAGCTGAGGAAATGTTCAAGGTCAGCCATAAAGTTGTCATATTGAGGGGCCATATGGCTGCATGTCACAGTAGTAAGTCACATAAGTAGCCCACTAGTTTGTATATGATCACTTTAAGTGCATGAGCAATGGGCATATTTAAATATGTTGTTGCATCAAAGCCTTAATCGCTTTTACTTGGGACTCACTAGAGACTCAGACCTGCAATCTATACCGATTCAAACAAGTGTTAGGTGAACAGTCTATACTCACACTGATAATCCCATTGAATTAAGTGTGACTATTCTTTGGAATAAGGACTACTTGCTTGACCAGAAATAGGCCCTCTTTTAGATATGCTTTTATTTTTGCTGCATTCACAGTTGGAGGGATCATTAAAAGTAAAAATTCAGAAGTTGCTGACACAAGTTTAAGTTACCCATTCATATTCACTGTTTGGATTTATTTTCAATTGTTCCCCTTATCCCTTTTTAAAGTATTGAAAAATCCAAGGAGTAAATATTGTTTTCAGTGCCTAATAGGAGATTACCAAAAAAAATTGTGAAAGACGATTTCTTATAAATATTTTACTTACATTAAAATCTCATAATATAAATTTATTACTAATACATTAATAAGACCTTGTTTATTCTGCTCAATTGCTTCATGTGTAAGACTCTTCTCATACACAACTATTTCTGCACTTTTATTGAATCTTTATTTAAAAAGCCATTGTTCCATCCTATGACTTATATCAGGGCTACTCAAGTTTGGAAGCCTCAGTGGCCACAACGATATTCACAGCATATGCCGAGGGCCACAATTTAAGTTTGGTTGCATATACATGCAAATATATATGCAAATAGTTTCTTCCACACTGACGGGCATGAATACAAAGATTAAGCCTTAAGCTGCGGTGCTGGACCCATCATGGCCAGTGTGACCCAATCAGCACCTCTCAGACTCTGCCCACAAGGCTAAGCAGCCAGCATTTCCCAAATGCCCCGACACTCCCGGTACCTCCTCCCTGCAGGCTAGAAACGCCGACCTCCTGTACCCATCTGTTCCAGCCAGCCCATCCACTTGTGTCTTTCAGTGCTCACCCCACCTGGGAGATGCCTGGCCATTGTGGAGTGTGTTCCCAGCGGAGGTCATGTTCAAAGGATCCCACCTGTGGACCGTGTGTTGAGCCCCACGTAAACCCAAACTGCACCAACAGGCCACGTGTTGACTAGCCCTGACTTATATACAGGCAGTCCCTGAGTTACGTGGATCCGACTTACGTCAGATCCGCACTTACAAATGGGGCTTTCTTGCCCCGCAGCTCGCAGGCAGCGGGACTGCCCAGAGCGCAGCGGTCCCGCCACCTCAACCTCCGGGGCGAGAAAAGCTGCTCCGGATGCTCCTGGTCTGCTGGGGACTGTCTCCAGCAGACCAGGGACACCTGGAGCAAAGCCTGGGAGGCGGAGGGGTCCCGCGCCTCTGAGGCTTTGCTCTGGCAAAGCCTGGGAGGCGCAGGACTCCGCCGCCGCTGCGGCGTT